GGCTATTTCTACAATTATTGTTGTTAATATCATTCGATTTTTCTGCTCTACTACGACATTTTAATACCAAGTATTCTTGCTTTCTTAGGTGTATGGAATTTATTTCAATTTTATTTAGATTAAAATATGAATCCACCGAATCTTGGAAATGGCGATTTTTCATATCAATTAAATTTCCACGCAATTTAGATAGGTTAAATCAATTGCAGTTACCCCGCTTGATACGATAGGGTGTTGAAAAAATGCCCATTACTCACTCACTGTTTTTCCGGGATTTTGAATTTCCTCTGCAACTGACCACGTGTATCACTTTCGCTTTTACAACTCTGTATATGCTAAGTGTCATTGCTTCACTGCAAATGTGTCCCATAATTATTCTAATCATTTTCCTACATACAATATCACACCAAACAGCCAATATCTCAGTTTTTTAAGAAATTTGACCGGGACTTTACTACGAAACTATTCTTTCACTTCGCAATTATTTCCTTCAACCTTAAGATAATAATCTTACAAAATACCTTAAATGTTGTGGTATTTGGTGGCTCAGTGGTTAGCGTGTCCGACTTGCAAACTAATGGTTTTGGGATCGAGCCCAGATGGAGGAATTATTAATTTTTTTTTTTTTTGCATTTTGTTTTTTTTAAAATAGAAAAATATCCTTCTTACAGATAAATAGAGAACGGAAGACCTTCTTTGTTGCTGTAGCAACAAGAGTTTCTAGTTATTATTATTATTTTTCTTCTTCCTTGGAAAATCTTTTCCGCGAGTGATCTTGTAAACTACACATCCGACTAAGGCGAAACCTTTTAAGGGTCAGTAGGCATGTTATGTAGATTTGCGGAACGAAGGTCATTTTGCCCGCACGTGCTTGCAAGAGCGCGCACGTGCAACACGTGAAATGACCAATATAATAGATATAGCCGTAACTTTTCTATTTTTTGATTAAATGCTTTGAAACTCATAATATAAGTATATATTAGTAGTATAGACGTGATGACATGGTCAAAATAGCAAGATCTCACGCGCATGCACGTGCGCTTCGCTCTGATTGGTTGAAACTAAAGTCTCAATATCTTTCTTGTTTTTTTTGACAAAATATTTTGAAATTTTGAATATAGTCATACATTAGGGAGATCTACAGCCTGATATAAAAGAATTATCATGAAAGCATGTGCATGCACGTGTGCTTGCAAGAGCGCGCACGTGCAAGCCAGAAATGTCCAGTATAATTGATATAGATGTAACTATTTAAATTTTTGATGGAATGTTTTGAAACTTATAATATAAGGATATATTAGAAGCATAGACTAGAGGACATGGTCAAAAAAAAGCAAGATCTCACGCGCATGCACATGCACTTTGCTCTGATTGGCTGAAACTAAAGTCTCGATATCCTTCTTGTTTTTCGACACAATCCTTTGAAATTTTGAACATTGTTACACTTTCTGAAGATCTACAGCATGGTATATAAGAATTATCATGAAAAGCATGCGCATGCACGATTGCTGCAATCTGATTGGCTGAAAATTTAAATGTCTATAACTTTCTTAGTTTTCAACGAAACGGGATAAAATTTAGAATATGAATAGGTATAATGGATTCCTACATAATGGTACTATCAAAATGAATGCACGAACATGCATTCATGCACGTGCACGCGCAAAATACGCAAAATGGCCGATTAAAAAAACCCATTAAAATGTATATTTTTGTATAAATGTATATTGTAAAGAATTTTTTTTATTTATTCTCACAATATATAGATATGTTAATTGTTTAGAAACATGCTGTGATCATCTTGCATGTACATGCACGTGCGTGCACGTACAATACGTTAAATGACATATAGTTGATATCATTGTAGCTTTTATAATTCTTTGATGAAATCCGTCGAATCTGATCATATTTTTAAAATGTCCTACAGGAATTAAGCACAAAAAGGGATTTGGGGAGCGTTTGGGGAACATCTGTAACGGTCCCCGTTACAATTAGCACTAGTTTTATATTGAAAATGCTTGAATTCTTTAAAAATATTTTCCCTTGCTTCTGGGTATTATGTCAGTATTCTAAGTACATATTAGTTATGATGAAAGGTGCCTCTTCCAAAATGGTTAATTTCAGGGCCCGTGGGCCAGGGGTACTTGTGATGGGGGTGGGTGGTTACATTATATTATGATGTCTGAAAATACATTAATGCTTTGAAATATGCTTTTTGGTATTAATCAACCATTTATGATGAAATAAAATTTATGATAAAATTTCAAGATTATTGAAATATGTGCCCCCAGGGCCAGTAGTTATTTGGGGTGGGGTTCACAATTGTTTATAAAGTGGAAATGTATTTTCTCTGTGTTGCTCTGATCTACCTCTGGGTATTAAGTAAGCAAGCTAAGTAGAAGCAATAGTGCCTCTTTCAAAATTTTGAATTTCATGGCCTTTGATTTAAAACACTAACCAATTCAATTGATGAAAAGTTGTTACATGATATTCAGGTGACCTTTATGGCCCGTGGGACTCTTGATTAAGGATGATCTCTACACCTATGAAGTATTATTGATTTTTGGTGCATGCTTTTCCTTCTAATAATAGGCTCAATATCTGAAGAAATAAGGTTCCAAAGTATTTTACTTTATTGGAAATTTTTGAAATATTTAAATGATTTTGTTAAAACCCTATAATTCTATATTTTTAAAAGCTTTAAATTTCCATTCAAAGTTTATGTTATAACATAACCGAAATGAAAACCAAGAAAGTTATAAATAATATGTAAACAAATTTTTATTTAAATATTCAAAAACAGACAAGAGAAAAATTTAAACAGCACTTTCTTGAGAATAGCTGTTTGGATCAGATCATTTGGAACCAAAATGGCATTTCAAAGGAAGTACGCCATGTTGTGACGTAGTAGAGAGCCCCTTTAACAAAGATGATCCGTCCATTATGTCATTGTTAAGTTGTATAGGTAAAATAATGGAACGAATCATATTCAAACACATGTATAATCACTTTTGTGATAACAATCTTTTTTATAAATATCAGGCTGGAGTTTTACCAGCTCATTCCATTGTATATCTACTAATAGAAACCTATGATACTATTGTTACAGTCCCTGAAACGTTCTACTTTCCCATTTTTCCGTTCGCTTACCCTTCGTTCACCATTCGTTCAGCGTTCGTTCTCCGTTCGCTCTCCGTTCACAGTTTTGCGTTCACCGTGCGCTCGCGTTCACCGTTCGCTCTTCGTTTCGTTTACTTTGCGTTTACCTTGCGTTCACCGTTCACTTATCGTTCAGTCTTCATTGTCATTCGGAACTCCGAAGTGAAAGGACTTATCTTTTTGATGGTAAGGATTTACACGTTTCTTAATTAGATAACTAAGATATCGTGTTTGAAGAATAATTATTTTTTTGCAAAAAGTATCTACTATATTTATATTTCTGTTATTAAAACTTAGCTGTTACTTTATACATGAAATTTCCCTGGAAAATAATACATTAAGTACCTACATGTATGTATAAGGATGCTAAAATATTAAATTTAAATAAGGGCAATGTACAGATGCTTCGAGAACGGCATCATTTTGTTGTAATGTAAAAGAAGACAAATCGTTAGTGGATGGATAATAATCCAAGTCTTTTACAAGACAAGAATACGTACACAAAAAATTATATCTAACACGTATTTTTAAAAAAAATGCACGAAAACATATTAGAACTACATGTGGGTCTGAGAACTATAAACAGTACTGCAGATATTCAGTTAATTGAATATCTTTAGAGCTAATTAAATTGATAGTGTGATTTTAAATTTTAGACAAGAGGCCCAGGGGCCATAGCGCTCACCTGAGCACATCGGCTAGAAAAAAGCACATATGAGATCAGAACTGAAAGTTAACTGGGGGGGGGGGGGTGAATTTTAACCCCCCAGGGGGTCTTGATTTGAACAAACTAGAATCTACACTACCTGTAGATGATTCCATTTGAATAGAAAAATATCACTAATCGTGGCTTTGAAGTACTTGAAAAGAAGATTTTAAAAGGTTTCCCTATGTGCACATATCTGATACTGGTCCCCTGAATGTTACAGATATGTCCAGAAATAAAAGTTGTTAAATCAGAAACTTTGGGGTATATTTCTGTTGTTCTTACATCCAACTTTTAAAATCTTGAAAATCAGACCTACAGTATTCATAGTATTTGTTTGACAAAGAGTTGAAAATGCAACTTCACGTTTTCTTGTGTTCATAACAAGTGTCTTTCAGTTTGTGATAAATAGTACACAAAATTGTTATTTAATGTTAAAGTTCCATTTTCTTCTCCTTTATGTAATAAGTAACAGTTTACAAACTAATTATTCGTATTTCAACTCCTTATTGTAACAATTCTGAAATGATTTACTTTAGACACCGTTATGAACAACGTTATGGGTATATGAAGTTTACAGTGTATAAATTTCCTTAAAGTCTCCAGCTGAACATGCACATCTTTATATACTGTGTTGTAATCCACATATTCTAATGTAACGTTTCAAACTTTTTACTGGTCAATAAAAATTTTATTGCAAAAAACAATCTTCATTATAATGTTCATGACCAAGACACTAAAAGGTCGGAGTGGTAGTGATGTTTTCTTTATGCACATTTAAACTCCTAACCACCTTCTGTTGCACTTGTAATAATTGATATAAATATGCCACAGTAATTCTGGTAATATATTTAATGCATATTAGCTACTCATTGGAAATCGTATCACCATGCTTTCAGAGGATATTCTAGAGCAGTAATATGTATGACCAACAACCACGTATGAGTGTCCTTTAAAAAGTAATCCTGGGATGTCAATGATATACTATATAACACCAGGCAAATTATTTTCAATTTTGATATAAATTTATTACATTTCAAAAGACATTCTTCCTCCATCATGTCCAAATTACAAGTCTGAAAAGAAAGAAAAAATTAACTTTATACATGTATATACTGTTTTTGATCAAACCAATTGAAATCTGTTGGTTTTTAAGTGTATTTTCAAGCTCACCAGGAAACAAAAAATAAATCCTTGAACCATTCAATCTCAGATCTGGTGGAAGAAGCGTCTTTTTGATGTCCTCAAATAAGACTGTATGACTTATCTCTAACTCTGTCCATAGTCCATTTTTCGCTGGATAGTAGAACTGAACAAAGGGCTATTCTTGAACCTAAAATGTACAAAGCTGAATTGTGAATAAACGTAAACGGTATCAAGATCAATCAGTTTAAAGAGAAATTCATGTTTTTGTTACCATGGTTACTGGGATAAATTTTTGAAGATTTATCTTGAAGAAAAACACATAATGCTATGCCATTGAAATTTACTTGAACATTTCCTGTACTATTCAGCTTATTTGAACTATTTTTTATTAAAATATATCTGAAAAAAAGTCATTCTGAATCCAGATGAAAAGAAAACAATAAACTTAACGAATTTCATAAACATGATCAACAACAAATGTAACAGAAACACTTCTTTACTCACCACAGCAGGCAAAGAACATTGACCATGGGCAACAAGTACATATTGCCCAGCATTATACCTTAAATAACCAGGATATTATATCATTCCACCTTTATGCCTAAATTAATGCATTATCTTGATATATAAAAATTTTTATGTTTGATTATATTATCGCATCATTTTACCTTTCTTGACCCTCTAAAATGGCTGGGCCCTGTATGGTCTGGAACTCCCCACTCTCCGTGACTAGTGCTTCCTGAGACTGCTCTAAAATGGCTGGGCCCTGTATGGTCTGGAACTCCCCACTCTCCGTGACTAGTGCTTCCTGAGACTGCTCTAAAATGGCTGGGCCCTGTATGGCCTGGAACTCCCCACTCTCCGTGACTAGTGCTTCCTGAGACTGCTCTAAAATGGCTAGGCCCTGTATGGTCTGGAACTCCCCACTCTCCGTGACTAGTGCTTCCTGAGACTGCTCTAAAATGGCTGGGCCCTGTATGGCCTGGAACTCCCCACTCTCCGTGACTAGTGCTTCCTGAGACTGCTCTAAAATGGCTGGGCCCTGTATGGTCTGGAACTCCCCACTCTCCGTGACTAGTGCTTCCTGAGACTGCTCTAGAATGGCTGGGCCCTGTATGGCCTGGAACTCCCAGCTCTCCGTGACTAGTGCTTCCTGAGACTGCTCTAAAATGGCTTGGCCCTGTATGGTCTGGAACTCCCCACTCTCCGTGACTAGTGCTTCCTGAGACTGCTCTAAAATGGCTGGGCCCTGTATGGTCTGGAACTCCCCACTCTCCGTGACTAGTGCTTCCTGAGACTGCTCTAAAATGGCTTGGCCCTGTATGGTCTGGAACTCCCCACTCTCCGTGACTAGTGCTTCCTGAGACTGCTCTAAAATGGCTATGTCTTGTAAAACCTGTAGCTCCTGATTAACAGCAACTTCTAGTTCAGAGTCCTCAGTTTGTTCTAGAATGGCTAAATATTCCATTGAATAAACAGGTGATAATCTGTCTGTCTCATCCTAAAACAAATGATAGGATGATATATTTACACTTTTATTAATATCTGATACTTACACAGAATTTTATTTTGGTAACAAGGAAAATTAATGATAAATCATTTTGAGGAATCAATGATATTGAGAAATTTCTATTGTAAAACAATGTGCCTACTTACAGTTTCTAATTCTGCAATAATTGCAGTCAGGCCTGAAATATCTTTCAAAGTATCATCTTCACTGTCTTCAACACAGTCACTGTTAACAAAAATTTTGATTTAAACAATTGAATATATCTACCCACATACTTAAAGCTAAAAGCACATCGTCACAATTTCCAACTTCATCTTTGGTTTTATTATCATCTGAAATTATGATAAATTTCAAAATTTCATCTGTATGACAATTACTTACTCCTTGTGCACATGAATTTCATTTCCTGCAACAGCACCAGTAGGTAGGGAGGTCTCATCATCTGACTTGGAACTATCACCATCTTCAGTAGAATCATCAGAATAAGCTGCTTCATCATTATCATCATCACTTGTAACATACGCCACAGAAGAAGAGCCTATTTGTCAAAAAAAAAGAACCTTAAACACTAAATAATTTTTTCTTAAATTATAATATGTCTAAATTGTCAACCAAGAAAAAAACAGAATAAATAGAAAGCATGTTTACTTGAGGAACTATGTCTGTTTCTGTGATAACCTCGTCCACGTCTTCCTTGACCCCGTTGAACTCCACGACCTCGTCCACATCTTTCCTCATCCTGTTGAATTCCACGACCTCGTCCACGTCTTCCCTGACCCCGTTGAACTCCACGACCTCGTCCACGTCTTCCTTCTTCATGTACACCTTTTTTTAGATTAACAACAGTCCACGGACCTGTGATATCAAAGTTAACACAAGGGTCTCCCTCACCCAAACAACCCTCACAGAAGCAACTTCTCTCCCTCACAGAGATACCATATGGCTGAACGGATCTAATGCAGTGGTAATTTCTAGTGTCCTTCAGTTGTTTCACATTTGTTCTCTCCGGCAAGTTTCTATTAACATCAGTTTTTTTCACATAGAAAAACTGTCTTTTTGTATGTGAATGGTCTTGGTCAACTCCCCCTTTTGGCAGACTCAAATTTTCTGTGCAGTATTGAAAGAATTGCATAGGTTCAAGTATATCCTGACATCCTGCAGCAACTGCATTTTTCGCACACTTCTTCAGTACACCAATTTCACGGTCACATGGTCCCTTCCCGTGCCTACTGGCGAAAAAATGTTTTTCTGTCTTCACACCGAAGTCCTCTTCTGAAAAGGAACAGTTAACAAAATTTATTTTGTTCTTGTATTGGGTTGGGGTTCCATCAGAAAACTGAAGAACATGAGTTATATTACCCTCACTTTCCTCCAGTAGTCTTTTTATTCCAATTTCGACAAAATGCTGCACACCATGATGGTCGTGCGTGAGGTCATCACTAATAAATACCATCGAGTTCTGTCACAGTTTCGGGGTTCTCCGGACACTTGTGACATTTGTAAGATGCGACTATGGAATGGATGGTTACCTGGGTATTAGTCCAATGAAATCCTTGTGGTGCATCCTGTGCCTTGCATGTAAAATTTTCCGCATAGTCCATGCAGAAAACAGCAGTGCCAGGAGGAGGATCTCCTGACACTGCTTTGTACTGCTGGTATTGCCATCGGGCGTTAAAAAGGTGCTTCGAAAATGTTACCATTTTCATTTTCAATGTATCAACTAAGTCCTCAAGAAGACCTTCCTTCTTCACTTTAGTCAGTTTACATTTATCACCTTTCTCCCACTGCCACCAAGTAATAGAAGATTGTAGGTAAGGAGCTGTAAGAATTGGTTGGTGTTCAGAAAGTCTCCGTGTCCCACAAGTCTCACAATTACGGTCCAGACAGGTATTTTTGTATTCACCATCTGCTTTTTGACATAGGGTAATTTTGGAAGCAGCATATCTATCTGCTATTTGGCAGTTTTTATTAGCAGAAGCACACGCTGAGTTGATCGACTTCAAAATCAAGTCTATGTTAAGACAGTATTCACATAGGCATTCTCTGAATCTGTGATTGGTAAATGGAAGCACATTCTTGGGTTTTTGTCGTACAAATGTCCCGTAGCTGACTGGATTTTCTACATCTTTAGCATACTTGTCGTAACTTGCACGCAAGGAATTATCCATAATTTTTCGGGCCTGCACTTGCCCATTCACTTTAACAGCCCCTCTTGCATCAGGAATGTCATGGCATGCAATGTCATAGACATTTAAAATTCTGTTTTTTTCTTCATTTGATAAAGTGTCTTTTCTTTTTTTTCTTGAATCTTCCCAACCCTCTATTCCACTCTCTTCATTTACTCGCTTCTGGAGTTTTTTTCGATATCCCAAGTGAAGTCAGAATAGCCTTTCCTTTAGTTTTTAAAGCCTTGGCAATAAGACGCTTTTCTCTTATGTCTCTCTTCTTTCTTTTACTTTTCAACCTATTTAGTGCTTCTCTGAATGAATCTGACACCTCCATTGCAAGTTTTCTTTTGGCCTTTGTGTTTGGGCTAGCTACACCAAGTCTTTGATTTATTGAAGTTTTTGTTCGTGGGGATTGCTGATTGATTGCTGCTTCTATAACTGCTGCTTTTAGCATTGGATTGTCCGGCATTGAACTAAGGCATGATGTAATCTTCTGTTTCTGTCTAGATTTGGCCACCCTAAATGTGCTTGATTTTTCTCCTGACGGTATGTCAGTAGTCATTGCTGGTGAAGGGGGTACTGATGATGCCCCACAGGTTGTTTCCCCCTTTTTTTTTCTTCGTTTAGCATTTATTGCCGCTTTCTTTTGACGGCTCATGTTAGATCTTTGAATTCTCTTTTGTTCCTCCACTTTTTACGGTTTTCCTCGCAAGTTTTACGGGTTCTTGGTTTTAACTCTATTCCCTGCATTTTCAGTCTTTCTCTGTAGTTTTTTTGTCTGACTTTTTGAAGTTCTCTGTTTCTTTGCCTCGCTTCTTCATTTTGATTTTTTTCACGATATGTTTTAATTCGTATTGTTTCCGCAGCTCTGTGTAGCTTGTAGAGCTCAGGGTTAGATTTAATCCTTTCTCTATATTCCTTCGAGTAATCCTTTGCCTTTTTCATTGTAGATCTTGATTTCTCCACAAACTTTACTTTCATTTTTTGACTCAGGCACTTCCTTTTCCCCACAGACTCCATCATCTGGAAAATAAAACAAGATGTACTAAGACAAAGATATATAATTAAGCCTTGTGATAATGGAGAATAAAATCTTTTTTAGTGTGTGTGTGTCCATGTTATGAACAGTTAGCAGCATATTATTCAGTAAATTTCAAAAGAATTATTCTCTATTTTGGTATCCTAAGTTCTTAAAAGATTTTCAAATAATTAGATCTTTGGATTTACTTAAAATTCAAATGAATAATTCTACAAATATAATTGTTCATAACAACTGTTCTTTTTAAAGTGTCCATGTTATGAACAAACCTAGTTCCTGAAATATTTTTTCACTCCATGTTGCTGCAATATTATTAAAACCTCATTTTAACTTAAACCTCCCATCCAAGTAAAATTCTTCAGTTATTTTTAATAGATCTTTAAAATCTATCTTTAAAAAGTCTTATATTGATGTTCATAACAACAGACTACAAAAATATATATATACAACTTGTGTCCATATGATGAACAAATGCAGGTTTTGTTGAATCATCATATTTCATGTTTCTTACTGCTCATAAGAATTTCTATAATTATTAATAATATTAATCATTTTTTTAAAAATGAAATTGCAAATTAACAGAATAATAATTCTGAATCAAACTATTCAAATGGTTTTCTGTTCATAATTTGGACTCTGGAAACTGCATCCATTACAGTGTCTTGTTATGAACAATACTTTTTTTTCAAAATTTCCACACCTTGTGATACTTAAATAAAGCAAAATTCATTCATACTGATTGTCTTAGAGATTTAAATTAGTTTTATTTTCTGTGTGTATCACTGGTCAACTATTAAAGCAGAAAACTTTTTTTTTATTCGTGCATAACGTAAGACACATGTCAAAAACAAGTTCGAGTCGTCTCTGTTATGAACAAAGTTAAATATCCAAAACCAATTTTTGTGTTCTGATTTACACTGGGATCATCATTTGTTTATGTGTCAGATAAAAATATCGTTTATTTTTTTTTAGTGTATGCATGCTAAAACTGTAATAATGTTCCGTACAGTTAAAATTACACTGTTGTTCATAAAAAGGACACATGCTGCATGGCGTTTGTCGTTTCGTTTCAAGAGCATTTCAGGCTTTAATTTTCTCAAACACCCATTTCGCTTCCTCATGTCGATGAATAAATGTTCATACTTCAATAACTCTATGTCATTCTACTGATTTCAAACAATAAATGCCCTTTAACACCATAAAAAGAAAATTCTCACCTTAGCTTCCGTTCATAACATGCTGGGTCGGCTTTGGACACTGTTATTTAATGAGCGTCATTGAACACATGGTTGTGTACACATATTTGCGATCTACGTCACCGGCCTTTGTGTACACATGGGTTCAATCTAGGACACGTTTTTCACTCGTGTACACAAAGTATTAGTTCTCTAGCTACATGTTTAGCGTTCATAACAAGTGGACACGCGACCCAGAGGCTGTGATTAATTTCACTTTTAAATACTACTCATCGTATTTATTGCAACGATAATTTGTTTTTTTTTTAAATACGAATCAACTGATTTATTTTCTGTTAAATATGCATTCAAATGCATTTGATGTTTTCTAACAACTCCCTTTTCTATTGCGTTCAGTGTGGACACTGAAAGTTATGAACGCTTGATATATTTTATTTTCGTTCAAATGCATATTTAAATAATTCTTTTTTAAAAAAAACACCACTCAGAGTGTAAATCTATATAATTTTCTATTTTAGTCAGAAAAAAAAAATCTGTTTTAAATCTATTTCCAACATCCAATGCGGTAGTGCAGTCTGACAGCTACTAGATTGTAACATTTAAACGTGAAAAAAGCACTGCACTTTTAACAAAACAAATTGTATACAATTTTTTTTCAGCATTACATGAATATAATTTTGGTGTGTGTAGAATCTACAAACTAAGCAGGTTATTTTGATATGCCCATGATACTAATAATTCAAAGCTTTTTTGAGAAACTGGATATTTCATACCACTCCTGTCAGCTGACCCAGTATGAAATATGTGCACCTATATATCCCTATGTAAAACTTTGGTCGCCCATTTTGGCCCCACTCTATCCCCAGGGGTCATGATTTGAACAAACCTGAATCTACACTACCTGAGGATGATTCCACATGAGTTTCATCTTTCCTGACCCAGTGGTTCTTGAGAAGATTTTTTTTAAAATGCCATTAATTTTTCTCTAATTCATAATTATCTCCCCTTGGAAAAGGGCGTGGCCCTTCATTTGAACAAACTTGAATCCCCTTTACCCAAGGATACTTTGCAGCAAGTTTGGTTGAAATTGGCCCAGTGGTTCTTGAGAAGAAGATGAAAATGTGAAAAGTTTACAACGACTACGTCGACAACGACAAACAACGACAGACAACCAACAAATTTTGATCAGAAAGGCTCACTTGAGCCTTCGGCTCAGGTGAGCTAAAAAGACCAACTGTTTAAATTGTAATACAATAGAATTTGTTTCTACTTTACGTAAGTCTATAATTAGAGAGGGAAAATTCCTTCCTTCGCCGTATCTAAATATATATGTTTGACAGTTTGCCATTCAGTATGATTAAAGCCCCCCCCCCCCCCCCCCCGACCCCCCCGGCCGCCTTTTTTTCTCCCGAAATCAAATTCTTAGTATTTTCAGTATATTTAAATAAATATTTAAGTATATGTTGGTAAACTTTTCCCGAGTACCATGAGATTTGGTGCCGAGCGAAGCGAGGGACCAAATCGAATGGCGAGGGAAAAGTTTAACAACATACTTAGTACATGTTTCACACGAGAAATTAAACCCTTTGTGTCTCTGTCTATTTAATTACAAATCTTTGTGCGTTTCTTATTATTCAATCAAGATAACAATAGTTTGACCCTGACTGTTGCCATTTTGTACAGGCCCTGATATGATAATTATACCCTCGGGGTAATATTTACCTGTCAGGTGACGGTCTACAGTGAGTAGTTTTCAAACACAATTTCTGTAAATTCAAAAATCTCTGTTGGAAGATAGTCATATCATTTTGATGGATTTAAGTCAGGAACATTTTATTTTTGTGAACATTATTAAACATTTGTTTTTGGTGGTAAAATTGATAAATTTTGATGAATTCCACTGAAAACGAAAAGCAGGAAAAGAAAGGTTTACGGTTGGATATACATGTACACTACTTGAGCAATATAGGACGGTTCCAACGTATTTGAACTTCTTTAAAAAAAATCATATTTAGACTTTTTGCTGTTTCCCAATCAGTCCATATTTGTTTAATTGGAATCAAAGAATAAATTGAATAGTAAGTAAAATTTTATTGTTCTCACTTTTCAATGCGATAATTCTGATTAAAGTTCCAATGTCAATGGTAAATCCTAAATATTCAATCAATTGCTAGACATTTCTTAAATTTCTCTTTTACTTTTAATTGTAATTATTTTTTTTTCTTCATTTTTTAATTTGGTTAAAGTTGAATAAATCAGGAAGAAAGACAGGGTGAAGAGAAGGATATCTTTCTTTGTGTACTAATTTATGTAACTTTGCAGATTTTTTTATCATGTAGCACTTCAGGTCCATTATTCATTGTAGGGTGACCTTGCCCTGTGTCCATAATTGTAATTACCTATCATTGGTAATAATTTGGTCAATAATTATGCACACAATGGCAGAGTCATCCAACCATGAAGCTTGGGCTTGGGGTGTACAAAGTAGCAGCAAAAATCCTTTGTTCGAGATGTGAAACATGTACTAATACTACTTATAGAATGAATTAATTACATTGTACCCGGTTGATTCTGAGTAAAATAACGGATTTTTTTTTAGTTTACTGTAGTTTACATGTATCTGTAGACATTTCCCGGCCGTGATTATACTCGGACAAGATGATGTAAAAAGGCAATCAAATTATTTGTAATAGATTAAATTTAAAAAACTAAATAAGTTGTGTGCTGTCATAGTTTTCATTGATCAGAGAAATGTACGAGAGAGAGAGCCCTCCATTCTCAGATATTTGTTGTTTCAAATAAAATTTCTTATTATTTTTCCTAGAAATTCCTAGCAGTAAAAGTTATTTTTTAAGATTAACAAATCCATTTGACAGTAATCATCGGCTTTTATTTTCCATCTTCAAGTTGACACGGTTCACACAAAGTCCACAGGTGCTTGCCCTGTCAATCAAAATCATTCGACACAGTGGAGGTGAGTAAATCTCGTTTCACCGATCATGCCGAAGGCAAAAAGTCACTTAGTATTTCCAAGAAGTTTTAATATTTTTTTTTATCATTTCTAGATCTGACTTTCGCATTTCTGCAGAAAAAATAAATAAATACTGGGAATATATACTTGGAAGGATTAAATTTGAAACATATTCCCTGCTGCCAATTTAAAATACCACTGTCGGCACATGTACATTTTGAAATACAATTATTTAATGACTGTTTTGATGTTCGTTTTAAGACTGATTTTCCTGTGTTACAATACACATTAGTACATGTTTCACATCTCGAACAAAGGATTTTTGCTGCTACCAAATCACTTGGTACACCCCAAGCCCAAGCTTCATGGTTGGATGACTCTGCCATTGTGTGCATAATTATTGAACAAATCATTACCAATGATAGGTAATTACAATTATGGACACAGGGCA